TTATGATCAACTCTTCTGTGAGTTTCTAAGAAAATTGAAAATATGGTTGTGTGTTCTTTGTACAGGTATCTATCTCTGATGTAATATCACTTGCTGGTATACACACATATATACATATACATATACATATACATATACACATATATACAATATATATATATATATATATATATATATATATATATTGTTTGAAAGCCAAATAACTAAAAATCTGAGAGATTCTCGTATATTAAATTAAATCTTACCAATTTTTATTGTTCATTAGTCATTATGATAGTGATTGTCATTCTATAATTAGATTAAATTAATCAAATTATATTTATTATTAATAATTACGTCTCAACATACCTAAATTGATTGCCGAATATTATACGATTAAATTTATGCTATGTAATATAAAAATTAACAACTATAAATATAATATTAATATGCTACAATAATCCTATCTTGCACAGTACTAGATTTTTGTAATATTGTGCGTTAATTTTTGAACAAGAGAATACCAAAATTACGGTGGAGACGCCATGTACTAATGCCAAGAGTACAGTTGCTCTAGAATAGTGTTAATTAAAATTAATGAAATTTAATAATAAGATACCCTATATTATAAAAAAATGTCGTTTACTATATTATTACTATAATTATTACTTTGTTCATTAATCAGATTAAAATAAACTTAATTACTTGATTTTTTGTAAAAAAGTAACGTTATGTATATTATCTATAATAGAGAAAATAACTTGAGTTATAAGATATCACAAACAATTATTTTTTTATAAAGAATAATTACCGTGCTGCTATATAAATGAATATTGAATTCTATACAGTATACGTGTATGTTAATTTTGGGTTAACATGCAATATTTCATGAAATATCATTCAGTTTCTTACAAAAGTACATTTTTATTCCAGCATACATCATGTTTTAGTGGACAGTAAATAATATTTTCAAGTACCTTTTCCGAATCTCACAAGTCAATGACTTTTGCATGTTTGGCATAGATATTTATGTTTGGAAACTCGACCTTTTGCGTATCATTACTTTTCGTATGCTAAATTAACCCCTGTTTTCTCAATCCGAGCGTACGGTTAACAAATATTCGAAAGGCAACCCCTATATGACGTTCAATTTGAAGGTAGCTTAAATATGGTTATGTTATTTCAACGTACCCTGAATTTGTAAAATACATTGAAAATATAAAGGTTGAATTTGTAATAATTTGAGAACCTAATATAGTTTATTTAACTATTTTACCAAATTGTTTATTTAAATTTTTCTCAAACTGATTCGATGTAAAAATTTTGAAGTATTACTTTGATAGAAAGCAAAATCTCATTGTTTGTTTTAACAATCTATTTATTTGCTGTTACATTTAATATGCGTTATAGACTTTTTTCTTCCTGAATAACTTATTTTACACCATTTGACTATTTGATTTTATAGTATTCGAAATGTTATGATCTAAGTGAAGCACTCAATGAATCATAATTTTCCATAATATGAAATATCACTAAGCATAGTACTATTTATATAGAATTTTATTTTTTCGGTGTTTTGTACATATTATACATCGGTGGATTTCCAAAAGTACAAGAGTTATCAATTTGCTAATGAAAATCATTCTAATGGATTCTGTAAATCATTATTGAAGTTGTTTTATGTCATTCTTGTTAACCCTAATTATACCCAGATGTATGTCAGAGCATGTACGAATTTCGGAACACACACAGTCTTGCATAATTAATCTCCGTAGCTACTAGATTTCCTAATGTTTCTGTAGATAATGCGAGTTTAAATAAGATTAAACTGTCTAGACATTAAAAAGTACTGAAACGTTTAAATGGAATAAGAAATTTAAACACATCGCAATATCTTTTCGAGATCAATTCGATGCACACAAAGCGCCTGCGATAAATTCTGTAAGTTACGATGACATGGTGCATTGTAATTAAATTTGTGTTAATCAATGTGATGGGAATGCACCAAATGTAGATTAGTAGAGCTACATAGTTATCTAAGGCTAAAATTAAATTAAATATTAATTAAATTTAAATAAATTATATAATAATAATTAAATTACATTTTGATATTACTATTTATGCCAAGCACAATAAAAATTACTTTCTTTGATCAAAATTAAAACCTCTTCAAAATGTTTGTTTTCCAAAGTACTTGTTGAATTAAATTATTTAAAGTATTTTGATATTTTTCACATATATTATATTTCCACTTACTTGCTGTTACTTCAAATTCAAATAAACCTTTATCGTTGGAAAATAAATCTTTTTAAAATTTTCTTTGAAACGTTTCATGATACAATATATTTTAATAGTTAATTGCAAATATAAATAATAGTTAAAATTCATAACTAAGATTATATATTATAGTGTGCCTGTGAACAAAAATTAAATCGCATACCGAAAGAAAATTTTGACATTGGTTATTCCCTCAAAAATAAAAAAAGTTTTGTCTTCTACATAGAAGTTGCAAAACTTCTTTACCACTCGTATTCGCGTGCTCGCACTTCAATAAGGCATTACTCACTTTTTGTATTACGGGAATAATAGAAAAGCGAACTTTTACTGAAAACTTTCAGCTTTTAAACTTAAAAAGTTCAAAGTTCGAAAAGCCTCATTGCGGTGCAGATGCTTACTATGACGTGCAGCTACCTATTCTGGTTCATGTAACGACTACTAATACTGACACCGACTCCGGTATCTCCGGAACCCAAAATGAATCCGTTGTAGACATTTCGAATTCATTTGCACAATGGAAGTCTGTTCGAAGTCCTTGTTGTAACTGAGACAAAAGTCAATACTAGGTATAAGCTACAAAATGATTGAAATATCGATTTTGCTCTAACTGTTGCTTACCCCAATTTTACTAAAAATATAATTTTTTTAAATCAATTCTACTTGTAAAAACTGTACGATCCAAAGGTTAAAGAAAGTTCATTATTTGACATCAAATAATAGAATGATTTATGCAATATACAAAATTGATTATATAGAAGCTGTCGGAATCTTGAATTATTTTATGTTTGGTATTTATTAACAATTTTTGTCAAAGCTTTAGTTGAAACTGAATCAGAAGTCCATAATGTAAAAAAAAATACTAAAAATATAACGTAAGACTATTAAGATATAAGCTATATGAAAAAATTTAACATATTTACTTAAATACGTAGTATATGGACATTCAACTAGGATTCTAAGCTAAGATTTAGAAAAAAACATCTACCGACGGTTATTAGTTATCAATAAATGTAAACTAACTAACTCTGCCTAAAGAATAAACAGTTTTTTTATTTTAAAATTATTTTGTTAACGTCATACAAATTTACACAATATTCAAATTTTTTAAAATGTGCAAGTATCTCTTGGTTTTTTACAAAAAACTATGTTTTAATCCAAATGAAATTTCTTAATTATTCCTAGTTTTCTCACCTATTTGAGAGTATTCATACTATTTATTTCATTTTTAGAAATATTACTGAAATGCTCTCATTTCTTTGGCATTTTGTATATCACGTGGTATAATATCAAAAGTTTTGAGAATCAATTTAAATAAATTGTGGAGTTATCCAGATGGTTTCATTATGATGTTCTTGTAACTATTTCTATGAATATAAAACGATTCTAAATGCAGAAAGTAATATTTTCTTAAAAATAAACTTACAAAAATCACCACATTGCTCGTTAAAAGAATATCATAGTAATTATCTTAGTTTTGCATTAAATGTTATTAGTGTATCCAAAAAGTTCTATTGAGGCAGATTGTTTCAAACTATTTAATGAGTTCTGTGTAATTAAATTGATTTTACCCTCTGTTAAGAAAGCTGTTGTTTTAGTTTTTAAAAATCTTAACTACGATTTCTAAATGGGTTTTGTGATATAAAATTTAACAATTTTTCAAGAAACTTAATATAATGTTCTTTGTGAATGCTCTTAAAATTTTATGTATGATTATATTTTCATATTTATTTATTTATTTATTTATTCATAAGCAAGCCGTAATCAATAATAATAGATATTATTTCAGGCTCTTGTCATATGATAACGTCACATACAAGTATTTATACTTATAAAAAATATAACACAAAGTTTGTTATAAATTTGTACAAAAATCTATACGTGATGTATATATATATATATATATATATATATATATTTATATATATATATATATATATATATGCACGCCTTATGTATTTCGTCAACATAAACCTTTTATCTGAATAATAACACCTTGGATGTTTGCTATGTCACATGTAAGGTCACTTGGCGTTGAACCTCGGTAACCTTTTGAGATACGTACGTTTTGTTTACGTAAAGAGACACCATTAGTCGCTTTTCTCCAAGCCTATTATATTAATTCAGATGTTGTATTTTCAGTTAACAATTGAAAGTTCAGTTTCCTATTGCAACAATTCCACACTACTTTTCCATATAATATGGATTTGTTGTTACCAACAAATTATTTATTTTAAAACGCAAAATTAAAACGCAAATGTTTGTTCGAAAATTTGTTTAATTTCAATGTTTAAATATATTTCTCAGAGCGATTAGTTCTTTAAATAATTATAAATAAAAATACTTTTGAAAAAAAATGTTTTTGAATTGAAATGTTTAAATTTCGAAATTGATAGAAATACTATTCTTTTCGAAATAATAAACATCTTTTCTTTATGGCATCTTATCTAAAACTTGTTTTTTTACGAACCCATTTTTATGTACACTTATAGAAAGTTACTATTGAGATATTGTATTTTTATGTTTGAATAATGAGCCTTAATAAGGCAAAATTCTGTAAATAATAAACTATTTACAAAACCGTGTTTATACCAGGATAAAAATCATTTTTGCTTCCGACGGTTTAATAATAATATACCGGTAATATCAAAACAAATGAAACGTTAGAACTTGACACGTCAGGGCTCAATTTTGGGAAAATTGTTTTTTTATTTCAAAATTATTTTAAAAGCAAGTTGGATGCCACCATGTCCCTAACAAAATGGCCTGAGAGGCAAAAAAGTCTTTATGAATATCATTTATATATGAACTCTTTGGAGACTAAGGAGGAATTATTAAATACAAAAGTTAAAACAAAGTACCGTTCTAAATTTTACAATAAAATTGATAAAGAAAATCGAAATGAAAAACGTTGTTCATCTAAGACCATGGGATCGCCGCAGATAACAAAGGTTGACCCTAAAAAATATTTGAAAAAAGGAGGCGGTTTTAAACCAGAAGTACCTCAGGTGACCCATAAGTGTCATAAATTGAATATACCAAGAGTTCCTGCAAGATCTACATTATCTTTAAATACGGTACGCTTATATGAAGCCACAGATACATCAAATGTTACATCAAATACTACTTCAAATACAACATTAGTCAATCATCCTCTGGAAAATATACGTAAATATCAAGCTTACAAAGCAAGTACTCTAATCCCAAAATTGCAGTAAATAGATTTGGCGATACTAAGTCCTTGAAAGAAGTCGAGCCGGTGTATGTTCTAAAAACCTCTTTTGGAAAGGTGCCGAAATACATTATAGAACAACACATCGGGGATTCGTACGATCAACCTGCTGGTGGTGAAAAAATTGAACATGCAAAATCGTATAAGTGCAACCTCATTCAGGAAATTGAACATTACGAAATGTTGAAGAATCTGAAAGAAAACTGGACTGAAACGTATAGAGAATACCAAAAATTGCCCCTTAAGCCGATTAAGGGTTACGTGGCACAGAAAAGGGCACAACTAGATAATCATCTAAATGCTTTAGAAAGAGATATTCGGCTGTTGGAACGGCATCCAATTATATATATGAAACAAGAGTAGAGGAAGAAAAGTAAACTATTTATGGTATACTATTAATTTTATTTACATTTAAATAATTGTTTTACCGTTGGAATAAAAGTAGTCTCAAATAAATCTTTTATATTGTTATTGTCACTTATATTATTTTCACAAAAATTCTACGAAACTAGATGCATTATCTAGTATTATGAAATATATATTAAACATTCAACCCACCATCCGACCCTTCTTGTGTGTAATTGTTTCCACTCATAAGTAGATGGCTGTTCAACTATATCGCATTTTGAAGGATCCTCAAGACCATGCTTTAATAGTATATAATATAGTCGAATGATAAAGCGAGCTTGCTCTGGCAAAGGGAGTCTTATCCATTATAATGGGAAGCATATATTCAAATCCGTTACGGAAATTAAATATAAATCATACATGTCTACGGTTGGCGCCCTTCATATAAATGTTGGGCGCACGAAGGACGATTATTACATGTCTTTACAGATATAGATCGTAATATTTTATGTTAATAATAGTATATGGTATTTTTGACTTGTTGCTGGAGATTTTCTCTTAGTTTAAGAAGTGGTCTGCTTATTTTATTAAAGTTCCAAATCATTCCACATCGTATCACACGAAATTGTAGAAAGAGTATATGCTCATGTAACTTCTAATCTAATTTAAAATGCTTTCTTTTAGCTAAGTTTTGTATATTTAATAGTATTCTAGTGAAGTTAGGTTATAAAATACAAGTACGAAACATTTATTTATATCGGTTGACACTAAACTCGCACTTTTTTTAAATTTTTTGACCAATATTTGAATTTCGTTCACGTTTAGATAATTTTAGTAAGTTTTATGAATTTTCTATTATCTAACCAATTCAACAATGTGTTATTCATATTTTCATTATATCTCAATAATTTAATAATAATTCAAAATCAATTTACTAAGTTTCTAATCAATATAATCAGAATCATTGATAGTTTCGAACACTTTACATTGTCTAGCAAACTATGCAATATGTGAGAAATGTCTGTAATGGATTGAATATTAATTGATATTTGAGTGTTTGTTACTTGTTGAATGTTTGATGCATAGCTACGTGAATATCGTGATATTACTTTGATCCCAAGATAGATTACGTCCATGTCTTTACATTTATATGATCGATATATGATTATTGATCTGTAATTGAATAATTATTCTATTATATTAGGCACTTGCAACGATTAAATCAGTTTTGTAGTAAACGGTTATTGAAGCCATGATATCATAAACGATCATTTTGCATCTTAAAATAGCGGTTTACCAAAATATTGTAAAATGTGAAAAACCAAGCAAACCGCATGTTTTATTATGTGCAGCGTAGGTTAATCATTAATTGATTAGTATAGCATAAATTTTATTATATTATATCATTATATATATAAACATTTAGGTTATACCTATATAAAACTAGGTTATAAGTTGGTAATTATTTAATTTAATTTTCAAAGTTAACCGTCTTCTGCACGGTTAATTCATTTACAATTTGTAACAGAACCATTTCCCGAAACTACACTCGTCAATGTCTCGAATAACTTCTGTTCTTGGATGAGTATTTCCGTGTGCATTCTGTAAACATTGACTCTGAACTATAAACGCCAAATTAGTCGGAACGAACTTCCCTTCCAAAATCACCTTCAGTACATAACAACCGCCCAAACCGAGCGGAACGTCCGGACCACAAGCGCCCGCTCGAGGTTGCGATTGTGTAACTATTGTCGGAGAAAGTTCGAAAAGCTGCGGTCAGATGAACTCTCGCTAGACGCTAACGTAATAAGTAAACATTGTAACGAAATAAATTAACTGGAAATTCGATAACGAATTTTAATTAAGTTATAATTCTAAGTAGGTTGTAAGATATACACACTGAACAGTTCCGAATATAATTAATGCATCAAGCTATCAAAATCCCGTCTATTCTTATTTTTTTTTTCTGAGACGACATAAATTGTTTGTTTTTCCACAATTTTGCATATTTGAGTAACTTTAATACTGTCTTGTATATAAATATTAACTATATTTATATACTATATTTACTATATAATTTACAGTTTTTAAAAGCAATAAATATTTATTTATTTATTTAATTTATTTTTTATTTTTTTAATGTTTTTGTTTGGCAATATGTTTATACAAAACATCAATAAAATATATAAAAAGTATTATCATCAGATACACCAAGCGTAAAGTCCTCTAGTAATAGCACTCATCTCCTAAATCCACCTATATTAGACATCATCGTTATCTTCTAAATAGTTTTGTAATGTGCATGAAAATTTATGATAATCTTACAGTTCTCTTCAATAAATTTTTGCAATAACTTGTCTTTAAAGTATATTTTGGCATGGACCATTTTTTTATTAACATACATCTAAGGTGTATTACCCAAGGATATCTATTTTAGTATTGCAGGCCTTTAAAAAGAAAGTTTACGTCACAATTGTGGATATTCTAGCCTGATTGGGTATATTGAGTTGGTCGCATAATAGAGTATAAATTGGGTCTTTCTCAATTTTGTGTCAATAACATTCATTTTTAGTCAGAACACAAAGGCATTTTCTGATCTAGCAATTTAATATAGAACTTATGAAAATATATATAGCTATTAGATAGAGGTGAACAGATTTTCAAAATAATATATTTTGAGCTAGTTGCATAACGGAAAAATCAAACATTATAACCTTATCATAGAAAATCTCCTAGATTTGTTCGCTAGTAATATATTTTATGTTTGAACGATAAAAATATTGATTAGAATTATAATTGTTATTAAATCGGTTATTTTTGAAACATATTTATTTATTTAATTACCAATATATAATATATTTATATATACATATAATTTAAAATATATTACATATAGTTAGAAAATGGTGAATGTACCAGATTATCAGGTCAATAAACAATTAAAAAAAATACCAAGAAAATCAGATAATATGAATTTTATGCTGAGATCTATGAATTTGGGTATAATGTGGCTGCTGTAATTAGATTTAGAAAAAATTAGTATTTAATGATATTTAATGTTTTGTTGAAGTATAAGGCATGGAGTCAATAGTATTATTGAAATGTTATGCTTCCTAACTATATTTGATTTATTAGCAAGCTTCTTGTTCGTTTGTCTTTTCATAAATAATATCGACCCGTGACATTTTTTACCAAGCGCAAAGTGCATATGACATTTAATTAAGCGTGTTCATAGAAAAATTAAATTATCCGGATGCGTTTTAGAATAATTTTCTTTAACATAACATTCGTTTGCGAAAAGCAAACGCGGGTGCTGTATCCATTAGGATAAAAACGAATCAGCGACGTGTGCTGTTTACGTTTGTAGGTTTACTTGGAGCAGATATAGTAAATGTAGTATATATAGTTACATGCAATAGGTCGTCGGGCTAACTGTCCGTTCTAATTTATACTACTCCATTACTGACCGCACTTCTAAAGGTTTTCCACGCTCCGTCGGCCGCATCATCACACGGTTCTTTATACTGGGCGCCTGGAAAACATACTAAAAAGCGACCACCAGGGAAAAAGAAAATCAAATACACACTGGATCTCTGTATTTTTAACAGTTCCTTTGCGATTGTGTTTTAATTGAAATGGATTAGAACTGTATGAGACAAACTGGTTGAATGAGTCATATAATGGGTAGTGACCTATTGTGAGATACGTGGTTTTGTCTTTCTGTGATTTATATTTCATTCATTAGAGTCATGAAACTCTTATTAGATATGGTCGCTAATCATAGTAAGATGCAAAAACCAGAACCTGTGAGTGCCATCTTCATATATTGAAAAAGGTCATTTAGTATTCAAAATTATATGTTTGGATCATTTACCCTTTTAAATTGCACTCCAATTATCAATTATAATCGCAATAAGTATTTATCATGTTTACCGCTTTCTTGAGTGAATTGTTACATACTTGGGGTTATCAAAAAGTTTGGAAGTTATATATTGACATAAGCCTCCTTTTATTCACATTCAGCAAAACTTTTCATGAGATCTTGTGATGTTCATAATTAAACTTTTGTTTGAGTTGTCGACGTTTCACTTCATACGATATTTGGCTTAGGAAATAGTACTCATACTTTGATACCCATATATCGTAAATTGAATGTTTGATGATATTGATACAGAAGAGAGAAGGATTCATATATCGCATTCATCGTTATACGTAATCTTAGACAAAGTTTATTTTTTTATTACAAATTTGTAAAGAGATTGTAATTTGTATGTAAGCACTTTCAAAAATAAAATGTTAGTTAGATATAATATTAATTACATATTTCCATACCTATAATTTAACATATCATCATTTAAGTTCAAGTTCAACTTTTAATTGAATTGACATTTTAATAATTCTCGTCACATCTGTCAAAAAATAAGTTTTTTTGTAATTTTTCTCTTTTTCCAACATTATTACTTTTTCTAGTTCATTACTACCATTTGATTTGCGTTGACAAACTTTAATAAAATTTCAATAGCCGTTTAGGAGTAGTTGAATGATAACCCAGATATATATATATATATATATATATATATATATATATATATATAAAATATATCACAATTTCAATTTACATAGCTAATGATCACTGTCAATACACAAAGTTTGCCACTTCTCTATGACGAGTATATTCGCCAATCACAGTTAACTGCTTAAAAAGAAATATTCAGTGTTTGAATATGGACAAATACTCGTGTGATTTTTAGTTTAATTTTATAACAGCAATGAATTTAGTTATTAGTGAACTTCATCTTTCAGAGAAACTTTTTTGAGATTTAATATTGTTTTTAATCACTATATTTTTTTACGGATAATTTGCATTCTACTAGAACAAACATAAAAATATTTTAACTATACTATTTGTAATCAAAGAAACTTTGAAGAAACTTCACTGAAATATATTATATTGAAATGTATGGTACATACGTATAGGTGTACAATATAAATTGAGTATCGCATAACACACAAGC